GCTAATGCTTTTAAAGTGCTGCCCATAGTGTCGCGAAGCGTTTCATTTAGGCCTTCGTCGATAAACACTTTTATCAATCCATTATTCACGCACATTAACATGGATTGAATTTTTTGGAGCATGGTGTCATTCACTCGCGCCGATTTCGTAAGCGTATTCCACAATGGGTGATTTATTCTGGGCACTTTCCCAACCACTGTGTTCCCAACCGGTGGGAGGATCTTAGCAAACTCGGTGACGATATCCTTCCAAGTGCATTGGGACATTGCATTTTTGTATATTTTCTCCACCACTTTCTTTGCAATGTCCCCGAGAACACAAATTGGTTCTCTTTCCTGCAGAGCCAGTAAAAACCTGGCTAACGTATCATTTCCATCATGTATTTCTGCAGCCGGTGCCCTTTTGTCGTGTTCAGCACACAAAGGTTGCACGCTTTCCAAGGGCTTCTCCAATGGTTCGCCCTGGATGAGTTCATCTATCGCATCTGTACCCAATAGACAAACTTATTAGTATTTATTAATATTTTTTTTTCTTGCCTTCTGGAATAGGCAATTTGGCTAGCAATGATTCGTCATCACTGATGTGGTGATTTTCCGAGAATGATTCGCTCATCATTTTTTTTTTTTTTTCTGAAAGTATAGATATATATTTTGATCACTGGTTTTCTAGTCTCACAAAAGGTATATCAGCCTGAATTGGTACACATTTGTACGAAAGTCTAAGGTTGACTACCCTCCACAAGGGGTATCCCTGCGGTAGCTGTTGCTCCCGCCAGGTTTAGATGGGTTCTGAGGGTGGGGGATCCTGGTACGTAGATATGGGTCAGTATTTGCAGTGAAGAGAATTTAGTTAGGGTGTAGTAACATTCACCTCGCAGAAGATGTCCGGAAAATCCTCATCAAATGGACGTACACTACGTCTCTCCAAGTTTCCATGGACATAAGAATGAAAAATACACAGGTGTCCATGTCTTGTACATGAATAATGCTTCCTCAATTGCAAAGTTGAATTGCAGAGGGTTGGAATAAACATTATACAACATACTTAAATCTCTTTACAACGACGCCATTGCTGGGACCAGTAAAATACGATTCATAATGCAGTGCAAAAAATCACGAACTACTGTACCTCCAATGAGGTACAGTATATACAGTAGTGGCTATTGAACAGAGAGCTATAAGAACAAATGCGTTGCAATCGATTATTCTTTATAACGAGAATTTACATTTGATGGTATGCAGTCCTATCACTGGTGAATTATTCCTCCGAATCGTGGCTTTCGCATGGCTCTGAGGTAATCACTTATGCATTTATGTGCTCCACTTGATCCATAGAACTATACAGTAGTTTTTCTTTAGAAATGCTCAGATTGTCGCACTCAAGTATATATTCCGTAAAAAGGATAAAAAAAAATAAAATTCGGTCGAGTTTTCAAGTCGAGGGAAAAAAATATGCAGAATCGGTAATGAGGTATGGGTTAAATGTAGCATGAAAAGCATGCAACAAGGCGTGGCAAGTCGTGCCAAACGTAGCCGAGTCTCTCATCGTTAATTGATCGCAGCAAAAATCGGAAAAGAACGGGAAAGGTGACGACGACGAGCGAGGTTCCCGTTCGGACGGGCGATGGTTATTCCGCCGGCACGAGCAAAACGTGTTTCATCATTCCGTTCCTCACACATCGCTCGGAAATCCATTCATCAAACTCGTTGCCTCCCCCCCTCAGGCGCGTACCTTGTCAACGTTGGAGCGAATCACGGGCATACGTGTGGTGTGTGTGTGTGTGTGTGTGCACGTCGGCTCCAAGACACGGTCATCAAAAGAAATCTGCCCTCGGTCCCGACCTCACGATTTCCGTCGCTCAACATCCCTCCGACGATAACGGATTAAACAGATTTGGCCCGTTCAACGCCGCATATACGGCGTGTAAGCAGTGTTATGGGTGTAACGTACGGACTCCCGCGGGGATACGGGTCAACTTCGATAAATTCCAGCGCCGAAAATCACCTTGACGACTCGACGAGCGGTGGTCAACGACGAGAGTATGGATTTGTCACGCCTCAAATATACGCGTCGAAAGCGAATTTACCATCGCACCATATATGAACAAAAACAAAGAGCTCTGTGAATTGAATACTGATCAATAACCTATCCACCCGGTTTTAAATTAACGGGTGCATTGGTTAACCTCCCACGAGATCAGTATGTAGACAAGGACTCCAACATGCGATATCATGCACACTTTAAAATCACATCCTTCGTACATCCTCTTTCAAAAATTCGTTGCTCATTTTCAAACGGGAAAGTAGGACGCTTCAATCGTTAATCATCGTCACATCAAATTCAGCTTCCGTAATACCCTTGGAAAACCGAGGAAAACTGGCATAAAATCGACAACAGGAAGATAGGTGCTGTTACAGTCATTGGCAAAAAAAAAAAAAAAAAAACGATTAATAGCAATGTGCAGGATTACACAGCAGATTGTCGAGCAACGACAACCATTTTTATAGAAGTTGACTGAAAATTAATTGGAGGTGAACCCCAACTTGCACACTTGACGATGTCAGACAATCAAACATAACATAAACACCGATAACTCAACCCTGACAAACTCAAATCGCCAATTGTAATTTGTAATTTCCTGTAATTTTACTTCTACTATATTTATTTACTTTATGATCAAAAAAAGGTTAATTTTGTGCTTTTTTTTTAGCATTCTCCATCATCTGTTTGCAGCTGATAGGAATACTGAACTCAAACTTTTTGCTTCCATTTTCGAGTCCTTTTGATGCCAGAAAATCATATACCGTATGGTTTTCTCTATTCTGAATACCTATAGTTATATTATTTATCTTTAAGTTGAGAAACACATGAACCATTTACCTCCTGATTTCGGGGTCTCACTGTACAATACTTCGTTCAACATGAGTTTCCATCGAATAATGTACACTTTACAGAATCTAAATTTCATCGAGTAGAAAATTATGGACACCAGCGTCACGTAGACAATGCCTCAATCGGTTAGTCAGTTCTGCATTAAAACGGCACCAACCTAAAAAAAGTGATGCCTCAAAAATACACAAACTCTGCCAAACACAATTCTTCGGTTGATTTCAGTATTGTACAGGCAAGTCAACGTTTTCCTCGAGGAAATCAAGTGGCAAACTTGAAAAATTGCAGGGAGATAAGTTTTCAAGGTACGACAAAGAGAATACGAAAGAAATAGACTTCTGAATTTTTTTCAGTTTGTCATTGATTTTTCTTCGGTACTTACACTGTATACTGCCCGTTAGGCGAAGGACCAGTCGATCATAATTTACGATCGTGCTTACAGCAAATGCAACCTAATTTTTCCAAAACTGTACTTGAGCATGCTTTTTGTTTCTTTTAGCCCGGATGCCTCAATGACTAAGTAATAATACGAAGTAATAAGTAATACGAAAATGTATAGGTCAAATTACAAGACAAAAAAGGAACTCTTGACAATACCCTATTTACTCAGCAAGACAAGTGCCTGAGTTTTCGATTGAATATTAAAAAATTACTATATCTATACGTTGGACGCGCATCGCGGTTAACAGTAGCAAACATTTTCATTTGCAGGACCCACCAAAACAAATACTGTACGTGATTCAGGGGTGCATTCAATTTTTTCCGCCAGTGTTCATTTTATGAATGCTAGGGCTGCTCTGATCATTCGAGAATAAAATTAATTTACTCAAATATTACATCATTGAACGCCCAATACATTTTTACCAGAAAACTTTGTACCCAGGTATGAGTCGTATGACATCCCAGGTATATTAAAATGCATTGAGATATTATCCAGGTAAAAAAAAAGGAAGACGTTTGTGCGGCATTTGTGTGAATATAAAGCTCTTTCAAAGTTTACAAAATAGTTATGTTCGTCCAATTGTTGCGGTGTATTCAGTTTCTATTAAGGCAAGGCGCTTATTCAGAAATAAAGCAACATCCGCCTACAGTACATACCCTATAGACGAGTATTAGCAGATACTTTCTCCGTCAACTCGAATGGTATAGAATGCGAAAGGCAAAAAAAATTCCACGAAGTCTTCACTAAGCAGCCCTCATTATTGCAACGCGAATAGAAGTCAGGAATGGGAATGGAATTGACCTCGATGCAAAAGTGTAGACCACGAGAGAAACTGAAATGAACTCACCGAATCTTCACGTCACGCAGCTTCTCCCACGCCTCGGTCTTGGAACCTGCGAAGAATTCATGAAATGGTCAGCCCACATACGAAGTGTCGGTCAGCGAGATCCGCCCGGTATAAATCCACGAAGCACGCCTAAGTAAATGTCAACGAACCAAACGTGTTCGGAATAGTGCATGCGAGGTGAATCGCCAGCATTATGCAGAACACAGGTCACGATCGTTGTCACGGAAGAGAAAGAAAAGAAAATGAAAAATTCCGCGTAGAAATTTACGATTAAACACGTAGAAGAATTAGCGCTTCATCCGTGCTATACATACAGACAATCGCGACAACATCACACAAGATAACATAAACATGACCAGTCTTCACAAAAACTCACTTCTGGCCCTCTTTCTGTTGGCACAAGAACTCTCTTCGTCGCCACGCATCGTCATCTGTGCAGAAGCGAATTCAATAAATTGCATGAATATTTTGTATGCTCCTAAAAAAATACGGAACTCACGATTTCCTCGATTCTTTGCTCTGCCAATGACAGCACAAGGAGACTTCTGCGAACTCTATGATGCCATTCACTCAGCGATAAATGCGAGAAGGATGTGACCAGATCTTCGCTAGAATCTGATACATTGACGGGCACAGAGTCAATTTCAGAATCCCATAAGCCCGCGGAAGCCGACGACAATCGCTTCTCTCTTGAATTTGGAAGTGTCAATCCAAAGTGTAATTCTGCGTGTAGTTTCGTCAATTCCTTTTCGAGAGAGTGAGAAATTATCAGAAGCGACAGAGAAATGGGTTCACTTCGACGTCTCACCTCATCAGGCTCTTCCACAGTTTTCAAATGCGCACATCGGAGCTCGCTTTCATCAATTCTGCGAAGGAACACCACCCGCAAGAAGTTTTAACTCGACAAATAAAAAAAAAGGCTCAAACGGTATTTTTCTTACCCGTCTCGGGCTACGACTGCCGCCTGTTTCAGGATCGTATCCGTGAGAAACTTGAGCCAATGGAAGACGAGCGTGGTATAACGCGACATGGTTTCCGCCTGGAAAAGATAAACGCTGTACTTAAAAGCGTCATATTCCAACGAATATTTCACTCATATATACAGTACAGTGCATGACTCACAATTACATTAAGAAACATTTCTTCGATATCTTAATTTTCAAAGCGTGATTCAAAAAAGTATTCTTTGGCCTGCTTGCTGTCTTCTTCAACTCGGAAGATTTACCCCCGTAAGGGGTCTTAATTGTGAACACCCAAAAGATTAGTTCACACTATATTCGAATAGGATACATTTTACTTCGGGGAATGCTATTAATACCAGGTCGAGTTTGTTCAAATAATGAAAGCTGCGAAATCGAACCTTCTCGAAATCCTCTACATCTGTGGCTGATGACTCGAGTACTGATCCTCCTAGAAGAACACAGTCAGACGGAAGAGAAACGAAGGACTGCGCTGGCATTTTAGGGAGACCATTCACGCATTCATTCCGTTGCACAGTATTTCGAACGTATTGAAATATTTCTGATTCGAGGTTCATCGCACTGCACCCCACGGGTAAGGATTTTCGTCCGCATTCTTCGCTCGAGTTACTCAACGAAATTGATAAATCTTCGCACGCATCGGGCAGATCCGGCAGAGACAATGCAGGCTTCAACTTTGCTCTCTTCGGCTAAAACATGAAATGAAAATTGTCTTCCTATCATGGCATTACATCAAGAATCATGAAGAAAAATATATACGCACGGTAACCCAAATTTGAGATGACAACGTATGACGGGAATAAACACTTATGTTGTCGTCCATGGATCCTTTCCGGATCTCCGATGCCAAATGCAAACATTCTTCTTCTTTCACGACGCGTTTACTACGCTCGTACTGCAAAAGATGAACTTTTTAATTTAAAAACAGCAAAACGATCATCATTGATTTTACCAACCTCCAGTTCGGATTTGATCTTCTGTAGCTCGGCGTTACGTACGGCGAGTTCTTTTTCAATGACCTTTTTTTCTCGTTTCAAAATTTCGAAGTCCTGGTTCAGAATTTCCAGGGCCTTTTCTAAGCTCTTCTCGCGGTCTTCCAGCGATTCGCAGACTTTCAAAGCGTCGTCAAGTTCATTCTTCACCTCTTCATAAGTGCTCCTGCGAGGAAAACGATGCAAAAAGCAAATTATTTATCAATCGCGGAATTGACCAGGAAAAAAATGCTCACCACAAACTTTTATGTGCTGACTCTGTTTTCGCCTTGGAATCAGCAATCGAGTTCAGTTCAAACCGAGAGGTCTTCAGAAGTTTGACAATTTGTTGATTCTCTTCTTTCAGAACAAAATAACAATCGATAGCTTCCCTGTTTTCTTCCAATTTTCTCTGTAGGCTGAGTTCACAAACATAAATTATGTTCAAGATTCTCACCATATTGGTATTATAGCGGAACAGATGTGATTTATACTCACGCTTCTTGCATTCCCTTTCTATGCTCATTCTCCTTCCTCAGCTTCAAGACTTCATCCTCGAGATCTAAGATGGCTTCCTTATCCCTCGTTCGTTCAACATTGAGAATCTTCAACTGATTCCGCATGAATTCCACATCGTCTGAAGAAATGCAACTGGATCTGATCGGTTACTCACAAATCCGATAAAAAAAAGAAGCGATTTCCTTACTTGGCGTGAAGGGAATCGATCTCCCGAGATTTTCTGCACACTGCAAACAAGGAATTCGTTACGGCATCAAGTTTTAACAATCATTACGATGTCACTTCGGAAAAAGCTAACATTTAAGGAGAAACATTTTTCGAAAAACACATCGCGGGGAAACAATACTGAGATTACCGCGTACTCGGGATGAGAAATACGCTAACTTAACCATGGATTCTCAGATGCATCAATAATTTACAACCGAGATGACGCAGAGATATTCAAGTAACCTTGAGCACCTTTCCGAACAAGAAACGGAGAAAAACAAGGAACTTCGAAATGTTTACCTTTCCGATCCCACTCAGCAGATGGACTACTGTTGCTTGCCGCGTCGGACGGCAACACTACAGGACGAGAGGGTGGTGTGTTTTCATTTGGTAGCATCTGGAAGTGACGGAAATAATGCAGAGAGAAAAGTCGATCATTTGAACTCACGGCTCATCACACATTGTGAAATTTCGCGGGACAATTCGAGTGACGAACACGATAGACAAGTCACTAACCGGCCAAGATCACTATCATGCTCAAATATCCGAAAGTTTCGGAACAGCGGACTTTTCGGACTTGTACATAAAGTGCACAGTCAGAATTGCAGATCGTTAATCGCAAATAAATTAGGTAGGAGCACCCCCTAAATTGCGTTGATCACGAATCCTTCGCGCACGTACCACTATGGATGACGCATAGCACGGAAACCTGATCTCCCTTCGAACACACCACAATTCACTCGAACAAGGAAGCGAACGCCAAAATACACGGTGTCCTTGTTTTGCATAGACCAGAATGTCTTTTCAAGAATCGATATCAACTGAAAAACAGGCGCATCGGCTGGGTCTCAAAAAAATTACGAATGCTTTATGAAGAATCCACACTCAGAACGACGGACAGTCACGCAGGCGCGCGCGCAACTCATCCCAGCACAGTAGACAGTGAACTGCAACGAGATACTGTATCTAATACCCCGCAAGTGTTGCCAGGTACTCTCTCCATAAAACTGGGATTCATCCCTGGACAAATGAGCCCCAAATCGAGTTCTGAAGGATTCTAATACTTTACGAGCAGCATCCCCTATAAACAAACATTTTATCATGAAATTCGTTTGAACTCAGCAATACCTAGATGTCACCCTCTTGATACTACTCTCGAATGCAGCACTATACGCCGACATTCAGTATACCCATCACGCTTCTTCGTTCATCATGCTCATGGCGCTTCTGCTGTATGCTTCAATATTTGAATTGCCGCACATACTCGTCATGTTTAAGATTCATCGTTTATTTACTCTTCAAGGGAATTACGCACATGAAACAGAATAAAACATGAATCTTCATCAAGCCAAATGAAGCAATAAACAGCATAATTGAACATCAAACACAATTCAATTGATCGAAGTTCAAGTACGAGCATCCGACACGCAAAAGCACAGCGAACGAGACCTTCAGACTAAAGCACACTTCCAACATTCTGAGCATTGCTCTCGTCATCAAGGAAAAGGCAATATTTCACACGTCTGGCTTACGGGAAGACTTTAAAATTATTCAATAGGCGAAAGAAAAAAAAACTTCATTAATATTTTCTAGCCATCATCGGATTCTTGTCAAAGAAGGGTTGGAAGACGAATAATCGGAACAAAATTAATTTAGTCCTCTCTTGAGCGGATTGCACTCAAAAATCAGGGATGTGTGCACCGGTTTATGATTTTTTTTAAAATAACAGAAAAAAACGAGAATGTCATCTTCACCATACCAGCAGCATCTATATAGTTTTCCTTCTCCCCTTTTCCTTTCTAAACTGGCCAACTTTTCTCCTTTACAAAAGCTATACTTCTAGATCAAAGGCAAGTTGTACGTTGCCAAATTCAAAAGATCACGATTCTCCTAGACATCACGGCGTTCTCATCATTTGTCCACACACTCGTACTCGGCTTCGAATAGCACATCGCACTCGGTTGACTCTTTTCATTTTTTTCACAGTCGCCGTCATTCAATGAATGCCTATAGAACTGCCAGCATAAATAGCACTCACTCGCCACATGGTACTCCTTCATATACAGTACATTTCGACGATCGTGCCCATGAAGTTTGCACCAACTTTCAGCGCGATTATATTTTCTTTCACAGGTTCATCTCACTTCAATGCCGCAACATGTGGGAGCAGAAGGCCTGTATTTGTCGTTGCTTTAAAGGTACAGTATTTCGTCAGTTCTCGGAAAACTGTACCGTATTATTCTTCCGCATGCTGTGTTTTTTTTTTTAAAGCTGTTCAAAAGACCGGTAGGTTTGTTTCATGATATTTGTGAGTCATACGCACACTCACACACGGATCAGAAGAAAAAAACTTGCGAATGAAGAGAATACATTACAATGCCCAACGATTTATCGTAAAGAGGGAAAGTCAGCACGAAAAGATACGCCGAAATCATACGTTGCGGAGTTGAAGTACTGAAGCGTGACTGCTGAAATTGAAGAAATGTAAACCTTGTACTCGTTCCGTGACAATCTGACTGAGAACTCAATCAACTCTTGAATGCTCATTCACAAGTAGCAAGACTCACAGAAATCCTCTACGTAGAAGACGGAGCTGGGGATGAAACCCATCATGGAACCAAAATTCAAATATACAGTTTGATCTCGAGTGGCACCATTCCCACAGAAAAAACTTCGTACTCGAAAACGGAATAGAAGAAAAATTATCCAACTTGTTTCGAATTCCGCACTACACATTACAGTATCTTATCCGACAGAGCTCTAAAACGGTACATTTCCGGCCAGCGCTCGTTGTCGTGCTTGGAGGAAAAAGGTATTGTAAATTCCAAAATTAGCCGTTGAAATGTCGACAGTTGACACTGACGATGGAAAGAGTTCGCCGGCAAAACAACGAGTGAGCTAACTTCGCGCGCGTTGTCAACATGCCGATTCCCTACTGGCCAGAAAGAAAAGTCGAAGTAGCGCACGATCAGGTGCGACCTCTATTAGGAAAGAGGGGTTCGCTCAGCGTCCCGCTCCATCTCACGTTACAATACATCGTCCCGACACGTACATCGATCAAGACCTCACTCAACGACTTATATATAAAACTGTGTTTCTCCTATTTGTTCGTCGGATGCTGAGGTATACAATTGAAAATAAGTAGTTCTTTCAGTCATCAGGAAAAGCAAGAATTGCACTTCCGAAGCTTGCGGCGTCACGACTGCACTCTTCAGGAATCCCATCCAGTATCAAAAAAGGCAATGCACCTGTTAACGGAGAAAAACGAGGTATCAGACATCAGAGAAGTTTCCAATCGCAGAATAAAAATACATCTTTTCGGAGTCAGATTTGTGAGGCATGTCAATTCTTCGCGGCACTCTGCAAAGACTGAGGTACAGTGTAGTATTTTCTTGTAAGAATTACACTATATTTTATCATTAGTGATGTGCTGGGCCTTGAATTGCTTCCCAAGTGAGTTGTAAGATGCTGAAGTTGAAGGCAAGAATGTATATTTGCCCAATTAATCTTTGACTTCTTATTTACAACCACACAAAATTCATGAATAAATTACATTTTCCATTGCTTTTCACTTTCCTGTATCAATAAAATGATAGAAACAAATACACTCAAAAATTCCAGTTATAGACGTTTGAGGAGGAAAACTTTTGAGTTATTCTTAATGAATTGCTTCTAGAGAAATTCAAATGGACTTGAAAAATACTTTTACTTAGGAATAAGGTATTTTACTTATTGATAGGAAGGATGTACAGTGAGATCTCAGCTGACAAATGCCGTGGCTTAACAACATTTTCTGGGTAATCAACTTTGGGTTTGAGCCTCAGTTGCTCTGGATAACAAATCCTAATCTGGCTTACAAAATTTGGTTCATCCAAATGTCTGCCCCCTATCCCCTGTCTCTGTGATTAGCAGCCAATACAGAATTTTACCAGTTAATGATTCTGGATTTACAGCATTTATTGAGGTTGGAATTATCAAGTAGAATTAATTTTTGCTTAATTTTCCTTTTTATTTGAAGAGGGGTGTTTTATTTTTGCTGACACGGAATTTCTTTGTTGATAATTATCTCAATCTGCTCTTGTTTTATCACAATGTTCTCACATCAGCCATGTTTTTGAATGATTTTGCAACTGAACACAGCACTGCACAGATGGTCCTACATGTACAGTACCTTTCTTTTCACAGAGGCAGGTCAGAAGTGAACTGTGCAGCACCTAAATCACCACTGTTCCTTTTATACGTATTTTCTCCATAAAATTCATAGGATTTTATAATAGGCCTATATAGCAGCGAGGAGACCCAGCAGTGTACACAGTATATGAGCTATTATATGATAGGTTCAAGTTCAACTGCTGCTGCACAACAATGTACATCAGCAGCTATAGTGCCGTATTAGAGACAGTATACTGTACAGTACAAGTGTACATTACTGTGCAACAGTTCTTACTCAGCAGCAGTCCGACCCGCTATCGGATATAAAGTAGAAAAGCTGTCTCCTTGATGGCCACAGCAGGGCAGCAGCGAGCGATGAATCAAATCTTGGTGTCGAACATGAGCGGCTTGTCCGTGCCGTCGTCCTCCGCCGTCTCATCGCCGCCGTCTCCGTGACTCACGCTGCTCCTGGACCGGTTCTTGACGGTGAACATGGGGGCTCGGTTGTCGTCGTCCTCGTCGTCGTCGTCGTTGTAGTCTTCGTCCACGTCGGCGTCGGCGTCGTGGTCCGACGAGTGTCGGAACTCGGGGATCGACGGCAAGAGGTCCAAGTCCCGCAAGCACCCGTCGGGCTCCACCCAGGGTGAGTGGCTGCACCGGTCGGGCCCTGAGCTGGGCAAGACCGAGTCGACCATCTACCGGCTGCTCAACGCCTACTAGAAGAACCAGTACTGTCGCTTCGACTCGGGGCCCCAGAATGCCGTCGGCTTCATCGTCGCCCACACTTTCTGCTCGTCGTCAGCAGCAGCACAGCAACAACAGCAACAACAACAACAACAACAAAAATCAACCACGAGTGTCACAATATTGGCTAATACTGTATATACTGGAGTATTTTTTATTGATTGTAACATTGTAAAAGTATATAGGACCTGTCCAATCATAAGTCCGAATACAATGAAGGGGCCAGTAGCAATATCAACCAAAAATATACTTTCGGGGACGACGTCTCGATTCAGGGAGGTTATTGCTGGGGAACCTATTATTATAGCTGCTGGTCTGAAAATGCGTGCAGTACATTTTAAAAGAAGGAATCGGGGTAGAAAATCTTGCTGAAACTGTTGACAGTGTGTCCATCAAAAGCATTTCCTGAAGTATTC